ATGAAAATCTATATTTTGGCACAAGGAGAAGGAGTTTGGGAAGCCGTTGAGAAAGAATGGAAGAATCCAGTTGATGATAAAGGTAATCAAAAACCTAAAGCAGAAGGGAATGAAGAAGAGGGAAGAGAATATAATTACAATTCAAAAGCAATGAATGCCATCTATGGAGCGGTAAGTGAAGATACTTTCAAACTAATCGCTACCACTGGCATAGCTAAAATTGCATGGGATATACTATGTGATCATCATGAAGGAAATACTTCTGTTAAGCAATCCAAGTTGCAAATGATACAAACACAGTTTGAGAATTTAAAAATGGAAGAAGATGAGGATATCTCACAGTTTAGTGCAGGAGTTTTAGGGATTGCTGGAGATGCGTTTAACCTAGACGAACCTATTCCTGAACCTAGGCTCGTCAAAAAGGTCCTACGTTCCCTACCTGAGAGATTTATGATAAAGGTTACAGCCATCCAAGAAAACAAAGATCTAAACACCTACAAACTCAGTGATCTAATGGGAAATCTTCAAACATATGAGTTTGAGATACTGCAAAAAGGGAAAAATAATGACAAAGGAATTGCGCTCCAATCAAAGCAGAAAAACAGTCCAGAAATTGATACTGAAACCATGGAACAATCAATTGCTCTCCTAACAAAGAATTTCAACAGAGTTCTCAAAAAATTCAACAAATTTAGAAGCAAAAGTGCTTCAATCAATCAAGGGAACTTCCCAACTGGACAAAATCAATCTATTTCAAAAGGAAGGGAGAGTCTAAAACCTGAAGGAATTCAGTGCTACGAGTGCAAAGGGTTTGGACACATCCAGTCAGAATGTCCAACATATTTTAAAAGGAAGAACAAAACATATGTGGCAACACTAAGCGATGACTCAGATAGTGAAGAAGACACCAACACTAATTTCGTAGCATTCACCGCAAATCATGAGAATGACAACGGAAACGAAAATGATATGCAAGAACTGCTAGAGTCATATACCCAATTGTATGCTAAATGGGAACAAATCATCAAAGTGAATCTAGAGCTCATGCAAGAAAATCAGTTTCTAAAAGGTGAAAAAGAGAGAGAAGAAAAGCGCATCAAAGAAACTCAAAATGAATTATTAGAATCTAAAAACAGAGAGGCCAAACTGTTACAAGAAATCAAGGCACTAGATGGAAGGCCTAGATCTCCAAATCCAGCGTCCAGTGAAAGCCACTCTTCTGAAAATCCTGAGGTGTCACAACATCACTTTCAACACCGAAGGAGAATCAGATGTTATTACTGCCACAAATTGGGACACATAAAGGCGTGCTGCTTCAAAAGACAAAATGATCTCTATTACAGACAAAACAATAGAGATTGGGCAGTACAAAGCAAAAATAACAGCAAGAAAGTATGGGTAAGAAAGGAACAAACACAAGTTGTTGCGTATACCTCAGAAACAAGCCAAGAACAAAGTGTTTGGTATTTTGACAGCGGATGTTCAAGACATATGACAGGAAATCCACATTATCTTGAGAATATCCAGTACAAAAATGAAGGGCATGTCACTTTTGGAGATGGAGGAAAAGGACAGATTATCGCAAGTGGTACCTTGAATGTTCATGGACTGCCCAGATTACCAAGAGTCTTTTTGGTACAAGGACTCAAAGCAAACCTTATCAGTATAAGTCAACTGTGTGATGATGAACTCAAAGTAGAATTTTCCAAAGAGAATTGTAAAGTCTACAACCAAAAACATGAATGTGTTATGATGGGGAAAAGATCATCTGATAAAAGCTACACATGGGATGGTGATCTAACCTGTCATTAATCTACCATCAATCAAACACCATTGTGGCATCAACTAAGGGGGAGAAAGACAGAGACCAAGGTGTTTGCCAAAAATTTGACAAAGGGGGAGAATGTTGACTCAAAGTATTTTGTCAAAGTTATGTGCAAAAAGAATTCCAGTTCTATAAAGGAATATCAGTACTAAGAGGAATAGTTATTGAAGAATACTAGTTCTAAGGGGATTTGTTGTTGAAGATTTTCTAGTTCTATTTTGATTAGGAATAGTTTGTTAATCACGAATCTGTTAGGAATAGCTACTATAAATAGGGGATGTCCTTTATTGTAGACCGCAAGCATTCAACATTAATCTTGTGAGGTACAAGAGTCTTTGAGAATAGGATACTAAATTCCCCTAGAAAGTAGTACATGTGTTTAGGTTTCAATAGTTTGGTAGGAAAGATCATTCTATTGTGTAATCTCAGGTTCCAAACAGTGTACTTTAAATATTGAGCTTTTAGTGGATTTAGGCAAGTTCTCAAATTGAGAAGTGCCTCGCAGATTAGGGTTGTTTGTCCGAACTGCGTTACAGATTGTTTGTGTTACAACTTCAGTTTCGGTACTGCGCTTTACAAATTTTCATATATATATATATATATATATATATATATATATATATATATATATATATATATAAGGACAATTAGGTTAGACTATAAGGATATTACCAAAACTGCAATTCGGGAATTAAATTTCCTAATCCGAAATCTCAATTAATAAATTCTCAAATCTCAAGTAGGCAATAGCATGTTCAGAGTATAAGGAATTAAAGACATTGTCAATTTTGCAATTTGGCAATTCAAAACCCTATAAACTATGTACCAGTACCCTAATAAATTGGGCAATTCGCAATTGGCAACTCGGCAGATCGCAGAGCGCAGCTCAACTGATTCTTCAATTCATCTTGATCACACGAACTTTCTAGTTCTTCCACTCCCTTAACATGTAATTAAAATTACTTATTTTCATAATTTTTTATTTATTGTTTTATTGACATGACTTAATAATTCTGAATTCAGAATGATATATTTAAGATTTTGGTTATTGATTAATTATTTATTTATTTATAGAGTTTCTAAATAAATTCTTTTTTCTATAGGATTTTATAATTATGTCTTCTAGAAATTGGGATGCCCTTGATTCTAAATTAATAGATATTCTTGCGAAAGATGGTCCCAAAAGAGATTTATCAATAAATAAAGGTCCTAAAGATAAATTCTCTAGAAGATTTTTGTCAACATTTTACACAAGATATTTGCCAAATGGAGAGAAGTGCGATCGAGATTGGCTTGTATATTCAAAAGAACTTAACAAGGTATTTTGTTTTTGTTGCAAGATTTTTAAAAAAGGTATAGGAAAGGGTGTTATGGTCAATGAAGGTTTTAGGGACTGGACATATCTTGGTATTAGACTTAAAGAGCATGAAACGAGTGTAGATCATATGACAAATATGACAACTTGGATGGAGTTGCGTCTTAGATTACAAAAAAATGAGACAATTGATAAAGTGACTCAAGAACAATTTTTGAGAGAAAAAGAATATTGGAGGCAAGTACTATTTAGGATATTGTAACTGTGAAGTATCTTTCTAAACATAACTTGGCATTTCGTGGAACAAATGAGTAGTTGTAAGAGAATAACAATGGAATTTTTTGGGTCTAATTGAAATGTTTGATGAGTTTGATCCTATCATTCAAGAGCATGTTTTACGTGTTAGAAATCATGATAGTCATCATCATTATCTTAGTCATAATATTCAAAACAAATTGATACATATGCTTGCTACTGCAATTAAATCAAAGGTCATAAAAAAATCAAAGAAGCAAAATATATTTCAGTGATGTTAGATTGTACTCCTGATGTCAGTCACCAAGAACAAATGTCTTTGATTTTAAGATGTGTGGATATATCAACATATCCAATTAAAATAGAAGATTTCTTATTGGAATTCTTGGTTGTGAATGACACTACTGGCCAAGGTCTTTTTGAAGTATTACAAAATGTGTTGATATCACTTGATCTTGATATAGATAATGTAAGGGGACAAGGTTATGACAATGGGTCAAATATGAAAGGGAGACATCAAGGTGTAAAAAAAAAAAACAAAAGCTTTAAGATATAAATCGTAGAGCATTTTATACCCCTTGTGGTAGTCATAGTCTTAACTTGACTTTATGTGGCGTTGCAAACAATTGTGGGAAAGCAAGAGATTTCTTTGTAGTAGTGCAACATATTTACACAATATTTGTTAATTCCACAAAGAGGTGACATATCTTGAAAAGTATTGTAATAAATCTAACTCTTAATTAAGCCATTGTCATCTACTCGATGGGAAAGTCACGTGGAAAGTGTCAAACCAATTATGTAACACCCCTAATTTTTAAAGCATTTAAAGACTTATAAAATAAAGGTAGACTAATAATAATAATCCAAACAGAGCATAGACTATCCACATGAGTCGTGGTGTTATGCCACAGCTAGGTTTGAGAACCTAGATGCACGGGCTAAGTCTATCCAGTCAGGTGGAATCCATAAGTCAATAGTCAATTACAATCCACGGCATGCATGCCAACTATTACCACTAGGACTAACTAGACTAAGACTTCGAGTCCATCTAGCGCGGTCATCAGCTAATGGTCATCACCTGAAAAACATATCGTAGCAACCATCAGCGAATAATGCTGAGTAACCCACTCCTACGCGTTAAGTACAATAAATATAAATATAGAAAATCATTTTGAAACTGGAATACATATATAGTCTTAAGCAACACTAGCTTTCAAATCGAGATCAGGACTCAGAATATAACAACGGATCAACATTACGAATACCAATAACATGCGTCCTATATTTGCAAAGCATAATTGTAACACCCCAGATTTTCAAGACTTTTAAAACTTATATAATAAAGATAGAATCTCATTAAATCCCAAAATATGATACAAAGAGTACGGAGTGCTATGCCACACCCGAGCTAGAGAACTCGGGTGCATAGGCTAAATTCTAAAACCTCAATCAGTATCAATACTAAATCATGGCACGCAGGCCGAAAGGGAAAACTATCTAAGCTATGCCCCAAGCTTCTAGCGCGCTCCAGTGATCTAGTCGTCTGTGCCTGAAAGCCAAATATATCTGTTCAGCGAGAGATGCTGGTAACCCACTCCAACGCGTTGAAATACAATACATATAGATATATATATAGATATGCGAAAACCATTTTGAACATGAAGATATATCCTACGAACTCTAGCTTTTAAAACAGGGATAGACTCAACAGATAGGGCTAAGCACAGACAGCAGTTATACCAAGCATATACAGTTTACAACAGGCAAGACAGATAAGATAAGCACAATTAATAATCATAACCCAACATATACGATCCCCGGTACAAATCCCATAGTCTCATCCCCAAGATACTCATAACAACAACTCATCCATACTTCATCACATAGCACACTTTGTTGGCGCCACAGGACCAATCGCATGCCCATACATGAGGGTCAGCGCATATAGCTCTGACACGGCCCCGCAGCACCCTGCCCCGTCTCACACTACGGAGGGGTCGATCGCAACCGACCGATGAGCCGCAGCTCTATATAATATTTATATACCTGACCGGTCTTTACCAGCCTGGTTAACAGTTGGGATGGTTCTCAACCCATTCAACTGCCCGTATAGTGGACCTTTGTCCTATATAATATTTATATACCTGACCGGTCTCTACCAGCCTGGTTAACAGTTGGGATGGTTCTCAACCCATTCAACTGCCCGTATAGTGGACCTTTGTCCAATATAATATTTATATACCTGACCGGTCTCTACCAGCCTGGTTAACAGCCGGTATGGTTCTCAGCCCACCTTACTGCCCGTATAGCCCGATTGATCTCAACCAAATCGGGGTAACATGCACACATAACACATAGCAAGCACATGCAACCCACATTAACACATTGGGAAGGGGGAGAAACGTATAACAAAACCTATGCGTGATCCTTCACATACTAAGAATATTCCTAAGGGGTTCATATTTCTTTCACCTAGGTCAACGGGATACCAATTCAACTAGCATGCAATATATAAGACTCATACGGCCTACGAACGGTACCTGAAAATCAAACTAGACATAGGCACGATAGACGGTGTCCGTTGGGACACCACGGGGGTCGGGGGAACATCAAACGGGGAAGCAGGGATCCCGAAGTGGGAATTTCCAGCGGGTAGCCGGTGGGTGGGGGTTCACCTGCCGGCTGCCCGCCGGTGTTACTGTTCCGGGCAGCGGGTGGCCGGCGGGCAGCTGCCCGCCCGCTGCCGGAGCTCCCCTTTTTGGCCGCGGGTAGGTGGCGGGTCCCCTACCCCCCACTGACTCTTTTTCACCAAAAAAGCACCGGGGACCTTTGTGGAACCCGAAACCATGCTTAGACACTTTCAAACGCAATTGATAACACACGTAGACAATTAACGGATCAAAATCAAGAAACATACGACACATAACCTATCATGCTTTTCTAAACATAATCAACACCCAATCATGAGAATTCCCACCCAATATACCAAGAATAATTCATACGAATTCCACGATATAACCTAGGGTTCTAATTATTTTTAAATCAACAAGAACACAATTCATCTTCCAAAATCAAGATTCGGTAGGAATATCATATAACTATCAAGAACCTCATATAATCATTAAGAGCATCAAGAATACCATATAATCATCAAGAACGTCATATAATCATCAAGAACGTCATAATTATCAAGAATCTTTCACCATCAAGATCACCAATGGAATCATCCCACCAATCATCAATAATAATATCACAAATCATCAATACACAATAATATGGGGAAATCCTAAGAGGGGAAACATAGCTATGAAAATAAGTTTTGTTGAGACATGGGTTACCTCTTAGCCTTAATTAATTCCTTGGCTATGAAGGGTCTTTCTTTAAGCTTTCTTCTTTCTTGATTTCTCCTAAGGGGAT